AAGATCCTCCTGGAATCAAGAAAAGCCCATGGGACCCGGAAGCACTGATCAGCGCAAGCGCTCAGCGGCGCAGCGCACGGTCCACGGCGTAGCGGAGCCTGGGGCCTGCGGTGGCCAACTCCGCCAGCTGGGCCGCCGCCTCGCCAAGAAGCACTTTAGTCCCGGGTCTCGGGGCCCGGGACCTAGACTGGTCCAGTTGTGAGGCCGCTGGGAGCCTGATGGCGCGAGCCCACGCAAGACAAATAGAGGACATGACATGGACCTGCTCCCGCAGCTCCATGATCGCTTCGGCATCCTTTGGACAGGGCAAGCGTTGCACGAGCTGTTTGTGCAGCCACGTTTCTGATTACTTTCGCCGTTCCTGCGATCACTTCAGTTCTCGCCTGTGTTAGACGACTGCACCGAGGTCATCATGCTCCCTAAACGCCCATGCATAACAGCGGCGATACAACGAACTCGCCCGATTCCACCAACCCCAGCATCTGTGTTGTTATGAAGGATGCCAAGTCTGCAAAGTGAGTGGCTCTTTCAAATTCTCTTGTCAGGAAGGCTCGCTTTCGTGCAATCCCGGGAGACAGTGCTTGTCTGATTCCCTCGGTGTTCCGTGCTGGCCGAAATCTTCCAATCTCAATCAAAAGGGCTGAAACGTGAAGCGTGGAGAAATTAGTTGATGGAATTTCGGCCCTCGGGTGTGCTGGGACGCTCTGTGGTGTTTGTGCAGCACAGCGATCTCCTAGAAGTCTGGTGAAAGGCTTGCATCCATGGCAGCAGGGGACAAATGGGGATATACCTAAGCAAGTGCACGTGAAAAAGATGTTCTGCAACAGCGCTGCAATGTTTTCACTCGCCACCCCGAACTATGAACCTGAACGATGAGCTTCGTGCAACTCCTTCTGTGCCGAAGCTGTCTTTGAATTCGTGCCGCGCGGCACTTGCCTCGGAACCATGTGCGTCGCGCAGCAATGCGCTGCGGAGCTGCGCAAGCTCCTGGTGAGCAGCTACTGCCCACCGACCGGAAAATAACAAAAGAAAATGCAGCCATCCTGCCACATCGACGAGCGTGTTGTCATGCAAGGAGTGAACAGCCCTGCCATGGTTCAACATGGCCCTGCGCAGCCTCAACCCTCGCGGGCGTGGCCACACCACGGTCGGCCAGCGCAGCCTGTGCGAGCAGCCAGACTTTCGAGCAGGAAAGTAAACCCACACCTGGCCCCAAATGTGGTCACCTTGTGTCGATATGCAGACATATCTGTCTACCTGTCTGATTGTGACCTCCCGCTCATCTCTCTCTTTCTTTCCCCAGGGCTGTGGTGAGGAGTTGCCTCCCCACCGCGGGCGAGTGCGCCCCCACCTGTTGTGGGTGCCAGTGGGACATCTCTCTCTCTCTCTCTCTTCTTCTTCCACCGGGCATGAGGGACTGTTAAGGTCCCTCGGCCACATGGGCCCCCCATGTGTGATGGGGCTTTGAAGGGACTGTGATAAGTTTTACTCGGACGGACGAGAGCAACATGAGGATAAGTAAAGAATGTAGAAAATCACAACATGTAATCCAAAGATGAAACATGAGTGCAGGTTGGCTTCGTCCCCCCAAGTTCAGTGCACAGCAATTGACACCTGGAAAAACTATGGGGCAGAGGTGAGGCTTCGCATGTCCCCTTCTCAACAGCAACAATCGAATGTGACAGGTAAATACAAACCGAAAGCTGAAGGTGAACGCCAACTCCGAAGAGGTCAACTGGTGGGACATGTGCTTCGGTCGGGGACGTCCCCCCTATGCTGCCAGGACTACAAGCGGCCCGGCACGTTCCCCATGCTTGGAAAACAACAAACCTCTCTCTCTCTCTCTCTGTCTCTCTTGTTGTTTCTTTTATCACTCTCTTCCTGCACGCGAAAAATGAGCATGGATACAGCAACCCAATCAGCAAAGATGGATGTTTGCGTGTATGTGCATATATACATCTATGTACACACAAGCACATCGCTCTCTCTCTCTCTCTCTCTCTCTCTCCCTCCCCTGTGGATATACATAGATGAACACATACCTATGTGTAACGATGCGTATATAATCACATATGCATGTGATTATATACACATCGATACGTGCTTGTGTGTGTGTATGTATATATATATATATATACTCATATACAGAATGCGTGGCCATGATGTGTTTCGATCGAAACATTCTTTGCTTCGTGTTTTTCCCGGGACAATCAGAATCTTAAACTCCCAGGACTGATGACGGGCATCCCCAGAATGCGCAAACCCTGACACTAGATGGCGTGTGAAATACCCATGCGCTCAGATAGAACGTAAACAATCTTTGAAGCGGAGATGATGGGTGTCCCAAAATCTGAGGAATGCCTCTGCCTTGCAAGAACAGAGATCTAACGGAGCACCGCCAAGAGGGCTGGCATGGTTGGTTTCTAGAGTCACGAACCTCGACAAAATCGAAACGATAAAGGAAGTGAGTGATTCTGAAAACGGGTTCCAAAGAACCACTAGCCGCAATACAAGGAAGTGGCTTAGAAAACATAACTCTTCGGGCTTCTAGAAGTGGGAAGCAGTGACTGCTCGGCAACAAGCCCAAATCCGCTAGGACGTATATCAAATCCCAGACCCAACACCTTGTCATGACATATAACAGCACTGTTATGGTAGGTGTACGGTCGCAAAGCTAAAGATGATTATCCAAACCACCCTACTGTACTGCGTGTGATAGACAAGCTGCCCACTCATGTCACGCATCGGATGTACTGCCCATCTTCTCGCATCAGGGTGTCCCGGGTTTGGGTCTGTATCGTATCTGAATCAGAAGTGTCAAACTTTGGGACCCGAGGGACCTCGTCTAGGGGGTTGTACATGGGCCGTACATGGTGCCCCTTCATCCTGACTATGCATGGTTGGGTGCTTGAGGAACAGCGGACGAATCCATCATCTTTTCTGCTATGAGTTGAAAGGTCCAGCATTTCCTATTAGGGTTGTTATTCTTGGACTGTTGTTGTTGAAGGGCAGGTGGCTAGGGATGATGATGTGCCATCCATCATCTCCTACGAGAGCTTTGAGTTTATGACCCATCATCCCCTGTTGGATTTAAGGTTTTCAGGACCCAATAGCACAGTGTACGGATTCAGGTTTACCAACCACTATATTGTAAGACATACATACATGCATACATACATGCATCCATGCATGCATGCACGCACGCACGCAGGCATGCATGCGTGTATGTTTGAATTGTATGTACTGTATGTATGCATGTATTCATTTATGTCTGCTGACTTATTCATTTGTTTATGCTCTATATAGATATATGATGAATATGCATGTTGACTAAGGACACTCGCTTGATTTTCGGTTTAGAGAGTTGCCCTTTCCAACCCGTGGGCATGAATAGCTTTGGCTGCAATCCCCGCCCCTGTGGGTCTGGGTCGAGCTTGGTTCAAGATTGGGGACTGTTTCCCTGTACGCAAACATGAACGGAGTTCCGGCCTGTGGGCGTGGGTATGGCTTGGGCGTTCAATCCTACCTTTTTCCGTGGGTGTGTTTGGTTCCCCGCTCCCGTGTCGATCAAGATCCACAGAACGACAAAAGCCACGATGATGGCGACCTAGGCGACCCAATCCCCGATGACGGTTGGCACTTTCCAGAAGTCGCAACGAAACCAATCAAGATCGATCCAGAAACACAAAAACAGCCACCAGGATTTCAATCCCAAGGCCTGCACTTGTTGACATGATCCGAAACATCAGCACGTAGTCCCAAGAGTATAACTACACAAACATGGACCAGCACCAGCGAAAGGGTGACTGCCTTTGCTGCTGAAAGATCGCGCCGTCAACGTCGGAAACGTGAAATGCTGCCCGGAAATGAAAATTCTCGAATCAGAATTCTGTGTTCCACAGATGCGCTGGCATCTGACTGCTACCCGGATTGCTGAATGCACCGCGTGCCAGTGCACCTTCTGCCACCCAGGCCATTCCACCAATCTCACAGCTGAGAACCTAAAGCGTCAACCACCGAGACCCCATACGGGCCCATACCCAAGTTTAGGCTCACCCTCGTTTGAAGCACTCTCTGTTGCTCAGGTCTGCATCCATGCCGAAACAATTATAACGTCCATGCTAGCAGCCCATCCATTGGCCAGTGCATGCACGCGCAAACAATTATAACGTCCCTGCTACCAGCCCATCCATTGGCCAGTGCATCCATGCCCAAGCAAATATAGCGTCCATGATACCAGCCCATCCAGTGGCCAGTGCATCCATGCCCATTATACAGATCACTCTGGCGCCGCGCGGTAACTCCGCATATCATCATAAAGGGGACGCCACGTTGAAGCATGCGAATGTGAGAAAGTATCGGCCCTGCAATGTTTTTCCGACATTGCTTGCACATGCTTGCACAGGAAGCTCGGGAAACGAGGGTGATGGACGCCAAGTTTTGCAGCTTTGCGTCCCGTCTCTTCCTCGAACCGAGAAAGCCGACACCACAAACCTCACACAAGGTTCTTAATTGCTTCTGGCACTGGCAAGCCTTGGCAGCCAAGCGCACCCTCGCCGAATCTGAGAGCCGACGAAGCCTTGTCAGGTGGGGTTTCGCGGTTCGGTGCAGGGTTCAGGCTGGGGAAACCGCTTGGACTCTTGGCCTTGGACAGGTTTTACTTAGCAATGCCGCTGAGCGCAAGCGGAAACCCATTGCTGGACACGTCTGCTACTCCAAGTCGCCAAACCAACGGCAAGCTAGAGGCGTGACAACATGTGCTCATATCATATCTGACAGTTGCTGCTATCTTGGCATGAACCGAAGACTGACGAGTATGGTCTGCTCCCGTCCAGAAAAGTCTGGTCGGCCATGTCACTGATCCACTCTTGCGCGCGTGCGCGCTTCCAGCGGCCGCGGCTGAAGGTAGAGCCATGCGACCTGAGCCAATTTGATGTCACATGGGGCGAGGGGTGCCGTGCAGAGTTGTTGTCGATGGGCTGCTGGGCAGGGACATCATGCTATTCTGATCGCCGTCTGTTGCAAGCAGCTTCCACGAGCACCACGCTCTTCATTGCGACTACTGCCCTGGACCATGCGCTGATTTTGTCCCTCTGCGCCCTCGCGGTTCGACGCATGGCCAATGAAGAACGCCTCGACCTGTTCGAGCAGCTGTGCTTGGAGCAGAAAGGTCACTTTGAGATTTGCGATCCGTGCCCTGAAGCTCGATGCGCAAATGTTCTCGTCATAATTTGCACGAGAACCAAGACAATGCACCCGGTCAGTAGCTCACAGCCTGCGAGAGTAAGCAACAAGATTCAGCGCGGTACATGCAATCCGCCAGTTAAGCGAACCCTCTGCCCTTCCTTGCAAGCGTCACGCAAGAAGCATCTCGGATGTCATGCTCTTGCGGAATCTTGGAGACCTCTCTGCCAACAGAGCCCGCAGTGAACTCACTGGTACTACATACCAAGCCCTGACCTCAGCACCAAAGTCCCAAGAACCAGCACCACAACCCCCATAACCTTCCTGCCTCCCGCTCGCGCTGAAGGTGCTCGATGACGTCGGTCGGAGTAGCCGGGGTGACCAAATGCACCATCCCCAGCACAAAGACCTGGTTGCGAGCTCTGAATTGACACAGTGCCTCGCCCCACAGCAACCCGAGTAGACCTCTTCGTGGCTCCTCCCCCCAACCTTTCCCTATGCCTCTGGCTGGTGCGCTCAAGTCTATTCGCAAATATGAAAGCGGGTAGAAGCAAGAAGCGGCAGCGAACAACTGGAGCAGCCCTGTGTGTTGCCCCAGAAGTTATCGTCTTCTTAATCTCCCCTGAACACCCTCCCTGCGTCGAAAGCAAGCCCCCATTCCGACACTTTAAGGGCCAAGTCACTAGCAGAAGCATGGCCGTGCTGAAAAACGCGACATGCACTCCGGGTTCACGGCCGAGCCAATCCTTTCAGGGAATACCAAGCTAGACATGAAGACACATGTAGACATTAGACACACGAGGTCCTATACTCATCACCGTTCACCCTGCTGTCTTGTGTAAACATGAGAACCATTGCTCCTCCCTTGGAGAAGCACAGTATAGAACACTCAAACACTTCACTTGAACTCAGCATCGCTAGGTTTCATGGCGATGGAAGAAGTGCATCGAGTCTGCATGTGGGAGCGTGTAGAAATGATGGGTCTGACCGCCTGCTGGGGTCTAAGCACAAGGTTAGGGCTTACACACCATGGCCTCAGCGGTGCATACTGCTGTTTCATTCTGAAGCTAGTTGGGCTTGATGAAGGCACGAGGATCTTCGAGGTGAAGATGATTCATCTGGCAGCAAGTGCTTCACAGATCCTCAAAACCGTCGTGCTGGAGGTTCGATGTCGTGGACCCTACAGTTCCGGAGAGTGGGTCATGCGAATGTGTTGCGACGATTTTGAGGCATTGAGGGTTCCACAACAGTGTCCGGATGTTGACTCTCTACATCCAGACTGGGAGTTCCACGGAACAGGGTCTTCACTGATCTCCAGTATCAGAAAGAAGCGCCGTACCCTTCACACGTCTGAAACCCTGGCAGCCGAACCTCTACTAGAGTGGTTCTCCAGGTCACAATTGCCAGGTTCGACAACCTCGGCTTCTTGCGAGTCTTGCGATCTCGGTACGAGTCGAAGAACTACTTCTGGTGTTTAGCTTCAACCAACCGATGTTTTAGATCCACAGCTGTAGTGCGCTCTGGTTTTGTGTCCACGTCCATGCCTCCTGAGCGCAAACAAACCCCGAGAGAACGCTGCTCTTGAATTGCAGCCACCTGACGCACCAATGTACCTTGGCTTCTTGCGACCGTTTTTCGCTGCATAGCTTGAGGCTTCAGTCGACTGGTATGACTCGCTGTCATGGCCTAGGTCCTAGTCCTAGGTCCTAGGTATCAAACAAGGAGGACAAAACCTCGCACCCCCAACGGTCTGGAAAGAATGCTCAAAAATATGCGCCGGCATGGCATACTATGAACCCTGCAACCAGGTGACACATAGGACTGGAAAATTGAAAGCCAGGCCCGCGGGAGACCCTTCGCGAAGCGAGGTTTCGGCTGCCGGCGGTCCAAAAGCCTCGGGGCATGTCGGGGCAATGTAACTAGGTCCGATACTGTAACTGCCCAGAAAGGGCACTGAGATGCACTGAGTGTCTGCGTTTCGGATCAAACTTAAGGCCGGTGGCTTCAAGAGCCAATTTATCCGTTTGCCAGGAAGCTGAAACAAATCCACTTGGAACTCCACCACCAGATGCCTCAAGCACAGATACAATCAGGCCTCACTCGAAGCTCGAAACCGACGGAAGGGGAACCTGCTAGCGCCAGGAGCCTGGTGGTTCTTGACTCAGCAGCATCTTGATCTGTCTGTCGGGGCTTTGAAACTCATGCCCATACGAGTGCCGACTCGTCGGCCCCGAAACACCAACCGGGAGCTGCGGGAAGCTTAGGTTCTCTCAGACAGCTTGTGATGCTTCCCTATAAGACTCTTCACTCGAGACCACTATGCAGCACCAGGCTCTCCAAACTAGCCCCTCAGGTGCTCCGAAAAAAACGAAGGCTGGTGGGCTACTGGACTTGATTAGTCTCCTGCTGCCCCCTGCAACAGAAATAATCAGAAATACATTTCGGAGGCAAGATGATAGACACGTTATTTTCAGCAAACAGCTGGAGAAGCCCTTCGCCCCAGAATACAGGTTTTCTTCAGCAAGACCCAAAAGCAATAACCGTCCGTTCTCAGCCGGAGCCGCGCCAAGAACAAAAGTGGCGCAAACGGGTAGATCCTGATCGGAACGCACAGCTGACATCTACCAGCTCATGAACAAATTGGCGCCAGCTCTGCAGCTCGTACATGTCCATCGTGCTTCCGACTAAAACAACAGCCGGCTGCCAACTGGCCAATGGTCGACCACGCTCGACGCAGACTGTGCCGGGAAAGACTGCATGACACTGATGCAGCTGAACATAGGCATCCCCGGAACATGTCGCTTGTGCCTCGGACCTCAAGCTGGATTCGTGTGCAGCCCAGCGTCACAGTTGTCAAAGACGTCACCAAAAAGTGAACAGAGAGGTCCGTCGCTGTGTCCAGCACGTCCCATGGCTCCTTCGGCTAGACTGACCCTTTTCAAGCAGAACAGACACCAAAGGCCTAGGCATAGTCCATGCTCTCTGTGTTGCGAAAGGCCTGCGACCGTTCTTCGTTGTCACCCGCGCTTTGGCTCAAGCCACGTTCTGTACAGACATCTTGAGTCACAGCTGCAGGTTGCCGTTGTTCTGTCTTTCATTTGCTTGATGCTCCCAGGGAAGGCAGAAAGACAAGGCTCGGCAAGCCATCAGATTTTCCTTTGTTCTGCTCTGCGTTGGGGTCATCACAGGGGCCCCGCAGCTACCCGTGCTTTGCACGTTTTGGGCTTCCGTTTTGCTTCATATTGTGGTGATATATGTCGGTTCCTGGCTTCGGCCTTACTCATCTCTTCGTTGTTCTTCCAGTCTTCGCTTCAGCCCTAGGTTTCGGAGCCGGACCTTCGCTCGACCGTGCTTTCGTTCGAAGACTTTCCTCCATGCCGGCACTGCTCGGGTTTTGTCGGATCTTCCGGCTCTAGATTTGGGCTCTGGTCAGACTCGGGCCAAAGACATCACCACAATCATGGTCAAAGTCAAGATCGAACCCAAGAAACCAGACAGCACAAAGACAAAAACCACCAACTCCAACCACCGATCAGTGAAGCGAAAACAACCAAGTCTTGACGACCTGCAAAGGCTCTTGTGAAATACAGCTCAATTTTGATGCAGCCAAACATGAAACGCAACAACAAACATTAAACCATGGATCATGCAGCTCACCTCTGCGACAGCACGCAGATCAGTCTGAAGGAAGAAATCATAGATGCATGCAAACCCGATACACAAGCGAAAGCAGAAACAGCCAGTACCTGACACACAGACCTTCTTTGCTTCGGCCGTCCCGGCAGCAAACCCACGCCCCACACCCCGCGACCGTCATCGCCACCGTCCCTTTTGACGGCCGCCATCCGCACTACATCAAAAATGTGCATCCTGATCTTCCTCACTGTCCTACTCCACAATATCATCCGGATCATGGTCGGGCACCATCATAACTACTCACGCATAATGCACAACTTCGAGCCCGAATCCAGCACCAAGGCCGCATGATCCCTGCGGCCATCTCACATCAGAAATCTTGCCCAAGCAAGGGCAGATGGCAGCCTGCTTGTCCAGCTGGCACTCGCAGGCTGCAGTAAGTTCTTTCCTTGGCTTGTGGGGGTTTCAGCTACGGCCTTAAGCTTAATTGCGTGCAGCTGCGACGGCGACACCAAGCCCCTGAGTCCCGGCTATAGCTGGTCAAGCTGAGTAGCGGCAAGTTGGAGGGTCCTGAAGCAGTCTCCAGGCTGTCTTCAAGCTTGTTTGCAAAGGCATGCTGCTTTAGGGCTGATGGCTTGGGGCTGCCCTTCGTCGCAAACGACGCCTCAGCGAATGCGGGAAACGGGTCGGAGCTACCCGGAAGTGTAACAGCATGGGCCCACCAGACTGTGACGACCGCTAAAAACCGCTGACAAAAAGGTCACAGTCAATGATGGTAGAGAACACCCCCAAGCCAAGATGCACGTACTCTGACCCTGCGACTCTGATTGGTGACATGGGAGTGTTTACTGGGGGCTAAACAAATCTAGGAACCCCAGGTAATTCAGTCCCTCTACACCCACCGACACCTACGTACGAAAGCTCTCTAACAGAAGCCAAAACTCTTCACTAACTTCCAGACCGACGGCCTGTAGCGAACCCTCAAAGTGACAGTCTGTTGCAACTCAGTGCGCAGTCCTGCATCGCCTGGCAAATCCGTGGCACTACGCTGCCACCTGCGAGGAGGGCACTGTGCTCCTCTCCGGCGTTGTCGCCCATTGCGCATTAGTCCACGATTTATGGTAATGCGTAGTGTAATGTACGTGTAGAGACATGATCATACAAGTTTAGCGAAAGTTGAGTGGTGGATTCGTCTTTTCAATCTCTTTACGAAGCTGCCTTGGAGAGTGCACCTCAAGTTGCACGACACTTGTGTGGTAAAGCCGGTGGCCGGGACAGTAGGCCGAAGTTACTGTGATACCTTACCAGAACCTGGAATTCTGAACGGTCCATCAGCTGTTGGTCTCTATATCCCTGCCGCCAAAAACTCAAAAATTCAATCTGACGAGAGTTCCACCTCAGCTGACGAATCTTGTCATTAAGACTTGCATCAAAGAAGATATCGTAAAAGAGGTGAGCGCAGCATCCGAGGTTGCCCTGCGCCTCTTCAAGAGAGGAGCGCGCCGTGCACAAAGCGATGCCAAGCAGCGCCGCAACCGACCTTTGCGCTTGCAGCAAAAGCCTCTCGGTAGACCTGCATGAGAATCTCATCTTACAGTTTGGGTTGGCATTTTACAGGATTCATCCGGCAGCGTCAGTTGAAAGAGCGCACGGTCTGGAGTTGCGGCTCCTCCAAACAGAGTCTGGAGCTTTGGACAGAATACACAAGAGAAGGACACTAGCAATCTCTCGGTCTGAAAGAAGAAAACCTTGAAGAAGGAAGCATGAGAAATTCTCAGAACCCGTGCCCGCAAGACCCGACCCGGTTTCACGGATCGACAGATCTGAACTATATGCGTCCATGAAGCTGCGACCGACTCTACGGCGGCCCAGCTCAGTGTCTGACATGGCCTGAAAGAACTTGCTAACATCAGGGTGGCAAGACCCAGAGCAGCAGAAAGGTTTGCTTGGCCAAGTGTGCTTGCGCCAAGGCTCCAGCTAGGCAGGTTCTGCACGCATCGTAGAATGATTGCCCGTGACGACCATATTATACATCGTGGAATGCTTGTGATTCAGCACGGTTCTATAGAGCCACTTTGGCGATGCCTTAAAGGCCTCTCTGAGCCTCTTTGCAATCATTGGCGTGATCATCCCCAGCATCAGTCGTTGAGGACTTGTCTTTGCCACCGAAGTGCGAGGTCCGTCAGCACATCCTCAGCAAAGTCCACTGCCAGCAGTGGATACAGACCTCGGCATGCCCATTCATGCCCGAAAAACAACGTGGAAATTTGCGCAGATGCTGTCCACATCGTAGGAAACGTGTCTCCGTTACCGCCCATCCTCCCCATGCGGCCCTGCAGTGAGTTGCTTGCCGTTGCAGACACGCGGCCTCTGTTGCAAAGGAAGCCGAACAGTCCTGATGGCTTCTTGGGTTGCAGAGGACATGTAAGTTCAAGCATCGATGCGCTCCACAACTGCGTCAAGAAGGAAACGGATCACCCATGGAATGAGTCTGAGCTTGTGAGGTTGGTGCCCGCTAATAAACATCCGAGTCTCGAGGGACTATCCATTTCAGCAGGTTGTGGGTGAAAATCTTGGAGACCTGCCACCACTGGCACTGTACGCAATTCGGCTCACCCCCGGCCAACAAGCACACTTTCTACAAACATGGCACGTTGGCCGGGCTTTGTGATTGTGGAGGGGACTCAAGCTGTTTCACAGCCCGGACATGTTGCACTGCCCGAGTTTGTGGAGGAGTTCTCTTAGAGCTGCTGTTGTTGAGGTTGTATGTGTAAGTTATGCCCCAAACTCTTAGCAGGTCGATGGGCCGGAACTCAGACCCGACCGGCAGTCGCACGATTTGATGTGCGACTCGTTGCGCAGGCTATTCGATGTCAAGGCCCAATGCGCCCGACCGCTGGCGGAAGATGGGCGGTCATGTACCCAGGAACCCAATGATGGGGACATGCGTTCGGATTTCTCCTTGAAGTTGGAAGGTGCATTCGTCCCGTGAACTCGCCGCGCCTCTAAGGAGGCTGCATATGTGTTGCTCGGTTGCTGCGCATACATGCAGGTCGCTGGCTGCAAAGTGTTTAGCTCTTGCAACCATTCCAGTCAGGAAGTACACGTTTCGCGATCGCAACCTCTGGGCGATTCGTCATCAGCGTCATTCCGCCTGAGCTGGGCGCTTACTATGCGGCCCAGCCTTTGCAAGCCTTTCAACCCGCTAACGCTGCCACTGGGCGAACGCGGTGTGCAAAGATTGGAAAACAAAACATCATACCTGGCTAGAACCCGGACGGAACACATGCACAAGCCGGGAAGTAAAAGAGACAAACAAACTAAACGAACCTGAAGCCAAGCGGCGAGCCACCCAGCCACGAATTGCCCTCAGTAGCTGGGCTGAGGCATTTCTCAGTCTTTCGCCTCAAATTGAAGTCGAACTTGCCAGATGTCTCTGTTACATATCGCTTGAACACTGGGGTCGTAAGATCCACAAAACAGGAGTGTTTATGAACGTGCGAGCTGAGAAAACGGAGAAACAGGTCTCCAGGTGTTCGGTTTCGCCGTGGTTGGTCTGAAAAGTTTCCAAAGCATGACTGACAAAACAAACAAACGTGCATGCTTGCATGCATGCATGCCTATACATGTACGTCAAAATCACCGTTGACTATCCTTTACAGGGAAACGTCCCTTCACAAGAAAAATCCTGGAGAGTCCAGGCACTGGCGTGTCGCACCACCGCTTCCCTTCGCAGCTGCGCGAAGCTCAGGAGGACCTCTCCGACAACACGGGCTTCAGCTAGGGGGTTTCGCGGGCAGGGGCAGGGCAGATTCTAGCAAAAAACCTCGAGGAAGACGAAGATGAAGAGGCGTGTGACCCATGCCTGAATCCCGAACCCGGCCAGCCAAGCGCACCTGTCCGCCACTGTGGAGCTCGACATCACAACAATCCTCCGCAAGCACAATCTCTCTGCTTCTTCTTCTTCTTCCTTTGCAGGGCCCCCGGCCCCTGCATCCTAAATCACTGAAACAGAACGGCCCTAGGTTGCTTTTATGTCTTCGTTTTGGGCAAGGGGTACGACTCTTGTCGGCCCCAAATCCCTGCCGCCTTGTCCCAAAAGGCGCAGCTCTCGATGCCGAGGCGATGCCGGATGTCGGGACTGCCACGGGCACGAAGACTGCGCTGAAACGAAATCTAGCGGAACTACAGTAGACAGCAGCTTGTCAAGCTACTGGTAGCCTGCAAAGATCCAAAGCTGCCGGAAACACATAGCACAAGAAAACGATTGGAAACTCGATGCCTTCATGCCCGTCTTCTTGCCCTCCCAACTTTCAATGTACCCTGCTACCAAGCACAGCAAGCCTCGGAGTAAAAAACACATCCCGACGTCGGGCAGATAGCCTTCACAACAAAGGAGCCAAATCCAAGCCTCTGGCCTGCCATATGCACACGGCCAAAGCCAGGGCCGGATGAAGAGCAAATGCATGGTCGCGGAACCTTGGCTACCAGTCACAAAAGTCCCTGGTCGAAGGCCCCTTGCTCACGGTGCAGGTAAGGAGAAGCTACTAGTGCAGGCTGCTTCAATGACGGAGCTGTCCACACCGGCTGCCTACATAGCTCCCTGCTCTTCTCAACCGATCTGCTAGAAACTGGCCAGGCCCACGTCGTACACCGACGCAGAGGATTCACCCGGCGTGGATGATGCGATGATTCTTTAGCTTCCTACCTTCATTTCATGGGAGGTGCGAATCTGCAGTGCTCAACTCTCATTTTCAGAAGGGATCCCTCTCTCTGCAATTTTACCAAGCGCCGCCAAGCTCGCAGGCACTCTTACTAACAGCATGGCTCAAGGGCTGACCACAAGGACAAAGCATTGCAAGATAGGTCTTCAGTCTTGACTCTGACAGGGTGCGAGAGGCTTGGACATCTGCCATTCTGTTTAACATTGCTCTATCTAGAATCAAGCCAAGGCGGCTACCTCCCAGCACGACTGATGCCTGTAAGACTCGGCCGACCCTCTGTCTGGAATGCCCTATACAGGCCCGCGACATTGGACAATCACCGTCAGCGCCCACTTCTTCATCAGGATCGACGTCTCCCAAGAATCCTCGAGAGGATTCTGGTATTGAGCTTGCAGAAGCATTCGCTGCCGTGTTTCCTGCGATTCCAAAACGAGCATCGGCCGCAACCCCTCCACGGGGAAAGCTCGTTGTGCGTGGTCTTGGTCATTTGTTTAGTCTTGGACAAGCAATGGGGTGAGCTACTACGGCGGCAAGGTACTCGTCTGGATGCGGCATGCTTGGTTTCATGGAATCTGGAGCCACAAGAAACAGTGTCTGCAACATCCTTCAGGACACTAGTTTCCGGAAATCCAGAAACGCACCTGCTGCAAAACAGCAAGGCGGTGCCAAAGCACGCTTCTTGCCAAAAGTGCCTTCGAAACTTGGGGTCAGCTTGTTCTCGAGGGCGAGGATCTGAGCGTTGCCTGCATTTCTTGTGCCTCTCTTCTTTGTGACGGTGCCGTGGTCCCGGACGGCAGTGCTGTGTACTCGTGAACCAGCTGTTGTGCAAGCGCGGCTAGCCGGCTAGCCCCACTCAGCCGACGGTTGCCAATGCCGGCAACTGCGCACCACATTGCGATGTATGCAACGCGAATTCTCGTGGTGTACACTTCCCTGTCCTCCTCTCGGTGGTTCTCCGCGTCTGTCAGGATGTGGGCGACAACACGGAACAGGTGATACAGCAGCACACTTACCTTGAGCAACCAGATGCAACAGGATGCAGTTGCACATGTCGGGATCCTAGCCGAAAGCTCTGTGAATGGGATCCGGACAAGCCCCCGAACTCCAGCGGATGGCGGAGCTCAACACTACAATCCGCAAGAACTGGTTGACCCTTGAAGTTAGAGGATGTAGAATCTAGTCTATGGTTAAGACTAAACTGGTCCTTGACACTCTCGCTTAGGCACAAGTTGAACTGCACTCAACAGGCTGTGGCAGTGTCGTCCTAGGGCGCACTCGGTTTTGTGTACCACCCAAGCTGCAAGTAAAAACCCTGCTGAGGCAGCATCAATCGAACAGCGCTCGTCGTTGTTCTTGTTCACAAATTTGCAGATGCCGAAATTTTTTTGGTTGTGCTGACAGCCATCCCTGCATTCCCTGCACGGCTTCTGATTTGCTCCGATTGCCTCGCTGAAAGAAACTTCAATCAGCCTTCTGAACTCGGTTCTGTACTCCACCAGGCCAAGGGGCAACAGAGAACATCGCTCCCATGGAGGCGTAGTTCTCGGTTGCAACCTCTTCTCACAGCGAACAGAAGATGCAGGTGGTGAGCAGCTTAGAAGTTTTTGCCCACGCGGACGCCATGCGGAGGTTTGTACACTTGACGTCTTTAAACTTTAATCCTTCCCACACCGTACAATAGCCGAGGGGGTCCTGCCACCCTCCTATCCCATGCATCCTGGAACTCAACTTCTTTGAACTTGGCCCGTGCACCACCGGCAAGTGCGCATTTTTCAGACCGAAAAGACTCCACAGCCCAATCCCTGCACTAAGTCCTTGCCTGGACGTGGCTTGTGCGGATGATGTAGAAGCTCAGGAAGACCATGACCCAGAGTGCCAGAAAGCAGAGATTCACCTTCACCCGATGGTACATCAACATCAAGACTGCGGCTCTAATCAGCAGGATATTTTCAACTGCTACAGGACGTCGCGGTCCGTAGATTTGCATGAGCTATTTGCATGAGCTAGATGCCTCATGATACTAGAAAGTTGAACCTTTAGCTTCGGGAGTTCACACATCAGGATTCTGTCCAGCCCTTCGCGGGAAAAGACTTTAATCCTGGTCTATGCCTGCTGATTCTGCCTATCCAAGGGCTGAACAGAACACGCCGAATCACAAAGATGCAGCAGGGTCTCAATCGGGGCAAGCTGGACTGCAGCCAAGCTTCGGCGATAACACGCGCTTGAAACAGCCTCCTCGTTACAGGTGGCTACGGGCATGCTTGCACCCTAGCAGCCGGGGCCAGGTCCGGCCGGGTGTTAGAGGGCGGTTGACAGAGGTACATGTCGGTGCTGCGCTTCTTTCTGACAACAGAGTCCTGTCGTGATGAAGCTGCACCAACCGGCCATCCACCTGAAACCGCCAAGACGATTGGACGAAGCAAAGTTTGTGCCGGCCGAAGGCTGCCTTGTGCTGGTTGCTGGAGGTCGTGGGTCCAGATGACATGCAGCTTAGTCGCCCGGCTCAGCGCCAGCCGCCCACCTGGGAGATTGACTTCGACCGGCGATCAAAACAAATGAGGCAGCGGCGGTGAGAACAAGCTTGTTGTCGGTCAGAGTATTCACAGAGCTGCTCGCACTCCATTCCCGACAGCACGACCGCCCTCGTGGCTTCACGTCTTCTTCAGATCATTCCGAAGTTGGCCAACACGGCATGCAATCAAGGAAGTCAGAACTCAGAACATTGACGTAAGGGCCCGGCGAAAAGCTGGTCTTGGCGCTCGATGGGTCTGAAGCGCCTTGGGGGGGGGGGCTTCTCTCTGCAAGGAATTCATCTAATGTGTATTGTAATTGCAAACCCGCGATTGGGCTTGCCTCGCTCTGGGTCGATATCTTACGCCGCTTGAGACTTGCAAAGTTTGCAGACACATCAGAAGCCAGAACATGCATTGATTTCAATCTCCAATTTGCGTTGACTGCCCAAAAACCTGTGTGTAACAGGGGCGTGAACTGACCATCCTGCAACTCGCCACAAGGCATGGATTCTATGCAGTTCAACGCGTGTCGAAACCCAGCCTTCCAGGATCCCCAGCGGAGGGCGTAGCGCTGCTCCTCGCGGAGGTGCTGGCTGTGAACATTCTGGGGATGAGCGCTCTGGGCTTCCCGTTGATGTGTTCTAGGATACTTCATCTTCCTCCCAGAGCACGAGCCGAACTCGAAACTCCAGTGTTGCAATTCATGGTCTGAGCCATGTCTTATATCTGCTGCCTTGCTTAACAATAAGCTGCTGGTGTGCTTTCTATTCGGTCTCACACGCATGAAACCTGGACTTCCACATCTCCTGTTCCAAATTCAGGTATTGTCAGCTTGGGTTTATGTTTTATATGCATCTCGAATACTCACTGCCAAGTGTACACTCAATCCGTCCTGCCGGTGCCACGACTCGATGACACATTGACCCCATATTGTGGTCGTCAGCCCGACCATCAGAGACCTCGTTGCCGTGAGGGGCTGATTGGTTCTCTGCAAAAACATCATACAACCAAATTCAAACTCCTCTCATGTTAACCGTTAACCCCAATCACAAACTTGTCAACGCGGCTCCCAGGCAACTTCAACACCAAGTGTCTGCTTGTCATCTCTGAACGATGGCGAGCACTTGCTTCCCACATCAATTCCCGACGTGTGTGCGGAAATGTTTCCTCTTCTGGGAAATTCTGCAGAAACCCCCCTACTTTCACCGCAAACCTTACATAGGCTTTTCAGCCCTGCAGACCAAGCTGCCACAAAGGCCAGCGCCTCTTGGCTGCCTTTGCAGTTACATATCAACGGTAAAGCTTCGGGCTTAGGATCTTGGCGCGCTTCTGCCGCCAGGTCTACTGGGTACGGCGGGTCACCTCCGTTTTTGCAGTGGCGCCTCCCACAGGTCCTAAGCCAATCCTCAACGCCTGTAGCCTTCACCTCATCATCTATATAGCTACAGCGTCAAAGTGCTCGCAAGCTCGAAGAAAGCCAAGTTCACCCTGCTCAAATGACTCCAAACATCCCTCAGTCGGAAGCCCATCACTCCCAAAGCTCAACCCACAGCCCACCTCCGAGTCCAACTCGGCTGCAAATTCGTCGACCAGTAGGAAAGGCTTCAACTTCTCCTTCTGATTTCTTGATTTCTTTGTGCAGGCTTTGGCCTTGGCTAGCGTCAAGGCTTTCGGATTCTGGTGTCAGCAGCTGCAGCGAGCTGTTCGGTTGGGATCAAAGAGCATGTTCCGGGCCCTTAGATATGAACGTGTCGGTACACTTGAAGTCGGATCAATTGAATCCCAATTCACCGCGTTCGTGAACCTGATCGGTCCTGAAGTATCATGTTCGACATGTCGCAGTGGCACGATGCCGGTACGGAAGCTCAAAGTCTGGAGGATCCCAAGCTCTGCCTGCGTGTTCACCGCATGCACGACGTGCTGCGCCCAGTCCACGCTGTAGACTGCCAGCAGCGGAGCCAGCAAGACGGTCAAAGCGAAACCGTAACCTGGATCGAAAGAGCTGCTATGGTCTTGACGGGAGTTCGGGGGCGTTTTAAGACATCAACGGCCTGGATATCCCAGACCCTTGTCGGGCAAGCTCTGCGGGTGGAGGCTGTCGAAGAAACCCTACTAGGGGCGCCCCACGAGGACCTTCGACTGCCTCCGCACCTGCCAGCGATGTTAGTCATTTAGAAACCCTGAAGGAAGTGGAAAGGCCAAAATCGACAGCACCGAGGGGCTGAAGAGGTGCTGCAGAAAGGCAAAGTAGAAGCCGATTTGCTGGCCGAAGAAGTGCTGCAGCAGACTGGGAAGGCTCTTGTCCTCGGACACAACACGAGCTGCGTGGGTGTTGGAGACAACGACAAAGGAAATCATCCATTCCTCAAACTAAACTCCCATCCAAAGGCACCTGAACAATGGCGCCCTCCCTCCCTGCCAAATGCCATGCAAGCCGCGACAACACCGGAGAGCAGGCCGCTCCGAAACCTCGGAGTTCAGCAAACACAGAGGGAACCGTGTCGAAGGCACTGGAGATGCTTGGGTAACTGGCTCCGAGGCTCATGGCAGGAAACTCACAAAGGGAAGCTTTTCAGCAAGCGGCAGAGGCGAGCTCGGCAAGCCGAACTTGAAGCGGAGCCCCGAGAACGCGCCGTCCCGGGGGTCCTCCAGAGCTCGAGTCGAGGTTCTGAACTTTCGGGGGCGTGGAGTGCAAAACCAGTAACGCTACAACCAACAGTACCATGCATAGGTCTCTATCGCAACTCTGATACGACTCTGATGCCCGTGCTGCAGCCTTTGCAACAATGATGCTCCCCACCTGCATGAGAAAGTAGTGCGAGAAGGCTGAAGGCACCTATCAGGGGGGGCTATGCTGTTGCTGGGCGTCGGACAGTACGATAAACGAGGAGCAAAACTCCACAACAAAAGCACTCCAACTGCAGTGCACAAAGCTTCCAGCGCGTCTCATGCGAGTGAAGCTCAACCCCACCAGCCATCCTCTCGCCTGGCGGAGATTGTCCATCAAATCTGCAGTGGTCGCCGCGTAGCGTCGTGCACCGAAGTTGCCTTTGTTGCTAGTTTGAAAGGGGTACACGCGCCTGCAAAGCCATGGCCATGATGTCGAAGAATATGGCAAACGTCACGAGCAGCATGACCCTTATCACCACCACCACTGGTCGTCACTACCAGACCGTTATCATTATTCATGGTCAACAACAACATCTTCCTCGTCACCTTCGTCGTCATCGGCATTCCCTACGATGATACCGTCATCAGTGTTCCGTATTCATCTTCAAGGCCATAACCGTCATCGTCGCCAGCACCATCATGAAACTAAACATCGTCACAATGCCACTGTCATCACCAACATGTTGCTTGTTTGCACCATGCATGTCCGGGACGACTACCAACGACCGGGGGTGCGTAGTGATGGCGCTGTCTGGATTCGGTTTGCCTATAGCTTCAAGTCCGCGTGGCCAACAAGCCCTGTAAAATCAGCGAATTTTTCCGGTGACCTTCGGGCGGGAACGACGCCGTCGACGTGCAGGGAAAGCGAACCACATCGGCCACGCCACTATCGCTGTACTAAGATATAATAAGTATCAGGCATGAATGCGGCTAAGGTTAAGACAGGCCGCGACAAGTCCGGAGCAGGCAATTGCACAGCTTTGGCCGCTTCCACCTTGGAGCACGGAAGACAGACGAGCCTCTGGAAGGAAGTTAAAGTGAAGGCGTTGGAGATCTCTCAACGATCAAGTCGAATCTGAAACTGTCACGGTATTCACGGAACGAGCAGAGACATCGGCCTGGAAAAGCGAATCTGCGTAGCACTCTGTTGATGAAGAGCCACTGGTCGAGCTTGAATCCCGCTCCCATCTCGCCAGTCGCACCTGGCATGTCGTCGGCCACCAGGCTCAACCTTACCGGCAGCTTTACACTCTGCACATCTCTACACTTGCCATTTTCAGAGCAATGCTGTACCTTATAGCTGCTGTATGTCACGCTGGACTGCAACAGGTGCACTTACACGAAACTCCTACTCATTTCAACCATTGCTTGGGCTTTCTGGGAGGGCGTCGCCATTCTGCAATACTACGCCTAAATCACAATCCCTCTCCCCTTAGATTAAACGGGGGGAGCCACGCAATAAAAAACTCGAAAGTGTGTTTATTATTGGGGTGTATGCTTTTCTCTACTGTCGCGTTTGACGGATCTTGCTCCTGCTACAGCTCTTGCAGTTGCCCCTGCTTTTGTTCTTGCTCTTACTCCTGCCCTTGCTCTTGCCTTATCTCTTGCTTCTGCTCTTGCCCTTACTCCTGCTTTTGCTCTTGCTTTTGCTCTTGTCTTGCTCCTGCACTTGCTCCTCCTCCAGCTCTTGCTCCTGAAATCCCTGATGCAGATAAACGGTGGGATGATGTCAGGGGGGTCTTCCGCAAAGTGTTTTTCTTTTTTAGGGGGGTGTTCAATGGGTGAAGGGTTTAAGCACCGTTGTGTCAGTGCTCGTGAAGGCAATTCTGAATTGAAACCCACAACGCGTCCAAACGAAGCATTTCACCCTTGCAAGGCGCAGCAGGCGTAGTCGCTCTGAAGGCAGTAGCAGCGTAGGCAAATTGACCTGGCAGTAGTTGCTCAGTGTCTCGACGGCTGCAAGGTCTATATCAGTCTGTGTGGCGAGAAGGTTCGCATCTCTCACTTCTTCCACGACTGCCATCGCGAATAGACAGGAGACGGGAACTCTAGAATGTATCTTAGCGAGGCTCTGAGCAATCCTTGCCCCGAACTTGAAATACTCGCCAGCATTTTATCTCCCCACACCTCGTTGGCAGGCGAGCACGGCTGTGAGGCAACTCCGTCCTACGTCCGCAAGGCACTGACTACTTCCCCCTCCCACAAACATGTGGATCTCTGGTCCACACCCACCCGAGCATGTCACTTCGTCAACTTACTCGGATTGGTTCGGGGGCTCAGGGTTGAGTCAGGGATCTGGAGCTTCTGCATCACGACGTGAAGTTTGGCATGTACCCGATTACCGAATAGTAATACGAGCACACATGTGTATATATATATATATAGCACAGAATTATGAATATATATAATATATATACACACATACATACGCACAAACAAAAGCACACAAGCATACATATGTGTACAGTATATATATATATATACACATACATACTGTATAATGTATATGTAGACAGTTCAAGAACCAGAACCATTCTTCAGCCTTGTTTCAAGAATTTATGACACCTTTTTATGAATGCATTCAGGACTCCTGAATTTACGGATAGAAAACATCCTAACGTCACATGCCGGCCGGGCTACGAAGTTATTCTCAGGGATTTCAGATAGCACCAACCAAACCTGCAAATCGCACTAAACCCACCCTCTTAAAGACACTTGTGACGTCCTTGCCATGCACCAGGGGCACATGTCGAAACACCCGGCTGGGAATGTTGGGATAGAAGCGCACATGCAAGTCCTGGAGACTGGCACGACGAAAGAACAGTTCTGCCTAACTCGTGCTTGAGGGGGATAGAGGTTTTCAGCACCTGTTGCTGCAAGAGCGCTGCTGCAAGATGCAAATCACAAGTGCTGGCTGACGGCTGCAGTATGGAGACAACCGTGGGATTGGTGCCATCGCCTGCTCACAACCAATGCTTCCAAGCCATCTCAATGTACGAAGGACTGAGCTCATCTTGAACTTCAGAACTGGCTCCATCTAAACCCCTATGCACATGCCTTGCAGCGTTCAGAAATCCTCCCAGATGTCGTCTGGCAACCCTTCGTGCACTGCGAAGTCTGCCTGTCTACGGAAGAGAGGGATTTTGAAGCGGCATAGCGGAGCTGAGCAAACGTGCCTTTCATTCTACATGCAGATCGAAGTGGCGCATGCCAGGTATAAATGCTTTGGATCCAGCTACGAAGGAGTCTGCAATTGACACCCGGGACTTCGACAGTTCACACTACGCACACCTACTACAAGTGTACACAGTACACGCTGAAAGGCTTGATGAGGATCTGGAAACGGTGGGGCGATGGGGACCCGTATCAAGACAGGCCGCGGCCTGAGCAAGCCCAAACATGATTGTTGTCCTACCATTTAAGAACCATCTGTCGACATGCTAACGGCAACTTCATGTACTTACTGTAGCTTCTTCAACTTGCTCTTCCACAACACGCATCCCGTGCACGCCAAAGGGAATTTAACCTCTCAAAGCTCAGCTTGTTCGGATGCCTCGGCTGCACGCGAGTCGAAGGACTCTGTGGATTGGCGTGCTTCGGGGAACGCCTTAGCACGGGGCCGTTTAGATGTGCTTCTGCAATTTAGCGTGTCCGCCACTGCTCTATCGGTAGCACTGGCATGGCAAGGCATCCAAACTGAAGCGTTCCGGACGGCTCAGCAGGGCGTGCAAAGAACTTCGGACGGACATACATGTGGCAACTGCATGGTACGCTACCTGCAGACGCCTACATTCATGACTACTCCAGTTGTCCACCTTCGGATTTGGCTAGCACCGTCTGCAGAGGTTCGGAATTCGAGGAGGACTGGCCAACTTATCCTACGTGAATCGACATAGCAACGCACTGCAACTGATGTGCACTGATGCATCTCGCCCCTTGCACGCATGGAGCCAGACTGGTCCAATCAATAGGTGCGGTGGCTTCGAGAAATACAGACCTTGAGCTTGTACCGTCGAGATGGCTAGTGATGCTTGCCAGAGAGGGAGACGGAGGGAGGAGAGCATGGAGACCACCAGACAGGCAGATGCCGACACACGGACACAGAAAGAGACACAACCAAGCACCGACCAGACATGGCAAGACACAAACTGACAAACAAATGTATGATACACCGACAGACAGAGCCAGCTAGCCAGGAGGCAGGCAGGCGAGGCACAAACACGCACGGACGAAGAGACAAGCTTCCAGTTTCAGACAGCACCGACTGCAATCGTGCGAATTGTGTAGAGCGCGGACAAATAGTCGTTTGCCGAAGACCAAGGTCGAGGTACTCCACCCCGCGTGCACACCGCCAAAGGCATGCCCAGCTCTGCAGCATATGTCCTGATACAGCCGGCTGTGTTGATCTCTTTTCACGCAGACACACACACACACACACACACACATTAAAGCATCCTCACACTACACTCATGGCCGACTAATTCAACGGACATGCCTAGCCGCGGATACCGGCCTCTCACAACCCGCAAGCGCATTCCGCTGAGACCCCGAGTCGAGACTTCTCCTGGAGCGATCCGGATGGAGCTCCAAGTACAAGTGATAGAAGCCTCAGTCTCCCAAATCTTCAAAGCACCAGAGACGATTCCTGGCCTCCACATGGCCGGAACCCAAAAGACACCCAACATGGCGCCGGGCGGCTGAGATTCGCCTTCACGGTGGCCTGTGCAAGGGCTTGAAGTGAAGTGCATCTTCGTATTCTGCCGCTGTTGCATTCCTGTTCATGACAGGTCGATCCGGTGTCAGCCCATGGCAAAGGCAGGCAATTGCCTGTCTCGTGCTTTGACAGGCCCGACGCCGAATGGCCCCGACAAACCCAGGGTCGAAAGTTTGACAATCCACGTGGCCATGGCAATAGAGTGAACCGGTGAACCTCCCACTCAAACATGCGACAGCCAGCAAGCACCAAGAAGAAACCGACCTCTATATAGAGGGTCACTCCAAAACCAAGAGGGGATGCCGAGCAATAGCTCAGTATTCTTCCTCAGGCCTCAGGGAGGCGGACGCTGCAGAAGATGTAATCCTTGGCTGGATCTCCGGCGGTGGATTCACTCAAAGCGACGCTCATCACCATTGTACTGCCCGTCTTCCTCCTGCACGAGCAGTGGCCGCTGCATCAGCTTCAGCTTCACGACCCATGAAACTATCACAAACATCGTCATAGTCATCATTACCTGGGTCGTCACCATCATTATTCATTATCATCATCATCATCATCATCATCATCATCAACCATCAGGCCAATCAACCATCGATTTCTCGGCAACCTGAGCAAAGGTGTAATCGGTCTATTTTCTTTCCGCTGTAGAGGCTAACCGTGGTCATCATCCGCAGAATCACTGTTTTCATCAGGATCATCGCCGCTATCAGCACCATCTTCATCATCATCGTCGTCATCACAAACGCAAGTATCAGGTGACATCTGCAGTTCTTTACAAGTTCATTTCCTGCGCAAGCCCAGGTGCGCCACCAGAAGAGGCGCCGAGGCGATATTCCAAACCGGCATCAGTAAGCCTTCGCCAGCCAACACTTGTGGGCTGGCAAGAAACAGGTGATGCCACTGGAAAGTTGGAGCACTCGTCAGTTCTCGATGCACCTGCTTCCTGAAAGCTCCTTCAACTTGACTCGTGCTGGTGCAGTTCGACCTCTCGCCTGTGATTCACTCTTGCCGGGACACGACATGTGGGGGACCGCTGTCAACAATGCTGCTCCGGGAGCTTCGGGCTTGCAACCCCTCACTCTGCGTTCGCTCCTCTGACTCACCGACATGCCCTGGTGCAAGATTCGAAGCCAGAGGACCATGGCACATGCAGTCAACAGCAGAACAAGGGATGCTAAGTGCCCGTGGCCGTTCTGGTATCCTATGGATGTCTGTGCCTCTTCAGCATCTCACTGCACGGCAGCTGCTGCGCCGGCTTCCATGTCATCCGCTCAAGCGCATCTGCAACAGCCTCCGCAAGGGTCGGATTCGATCGGTACAGTACTTCTCTTCGGAAATCTACCATCGGACCAGCTGTTGAATCTGCCAACTCTTGATTTTCAAGCTGCAGGCAAAGGCCCAGAATTCACGTTAAAACTGCCGTGTGGGACGTCTAACAAAATCGTCTTGAACAGCTCACGGCGTAGAGGCTGCATAACATGAGAAGGAAAACAGTCCGAAGTCAGCGAAAGAACAATGCAAATAAAACACACCCCTCCACTCTCAGCTCACACGTGCTAACACGAGTTCAGCCTCGGCCCAGCCTCAAACGAGGATGCCAGCTTTGTTGCTTACAATTGTAATGTCAGCGCAGTTTTGCCAAATCTGCCGGGTCTCTTCGCAGTCCCAGCGCCAGGAAAGCAAGTAGTCTCCAGGCTCGAGATCTCCAGGCACTACCACCCGGTCCATGATGCTGAAGTCCCATGTCTTGTTCTCAAACGAAGACAATCCCGGTAGTGGCTCCGGGAACTGGGCCGTGCCCGGCGGGCATGAGGAGAATTCTGAGACGTGCGACCCATCGCACATGGCCGAGCAAATGTTCCACTTCTGCCATTCCTTGGTGCCAGGTGGCGGGCCGGCCTCTACCGCAGGCCCGCATGTCTCATACGTTGAGCACATCCTGCACGCCGGCACCGGGTTCCGGGCCCATTCACTCCCTGCTGGATGGGTGCCGATGCTCACTGTCGTTCTTGGGAATGCTGTCCGTGAGCCGTTCACAAAGGCGATCCAAGAAGTGTTGCCTGCAAAACGAAGTGGAGTTCGCTGGAAGCACTCCTCGGAGACGTTACCATCGTTCCGGCACAGTCTGTACGAGTACCCACCTCCGTGGTTAGCGCTGATGGCCCACGCTACCTCCACCTCAGTTCCGCGGGCCCAAATATGGCTGGAAACCTTCGGGAGCATGAGGCCGTCTGCACCCTGAGGGTACCCAGGCGGTGGATTGCCAGCACCTGGATAGCTGTAGGGCCCACCGGCTGCGACCCCGCAACCGGAGCCGAGGACCGGTGTCCGCCCCGGTGCTCGCCACGGAAAGCTCCGGTACACATCTTCGGGACCTCCGGAGATGTTCACCTCAACGGTGCGGGCGTAGTCGGGCAGTGACGGTGGCGAAGAGCTCTCAACCAGGTTCGAGAACCACATGCACTCGCCCCCGGTGCAGCTGCCCCCACTCTTCAGCGAACCGCCGTGACGGGTGGAAGGAGGAAACGACAGGAGCCCATGGCTGTCAACTGCTGGAAGAAGTGCAGTGAGGATGACAAGGCCTTGGGCCATCCTCCCCATCATGTAGAGCAAAACTGGGACCGAGCTACCACTTGAGCCCGAAACACTCTTCCGAGATCTTCCGAGTGGTGTCTGCGCATGGCTCACCCCGTCAAGATTGGCACATTGCTACCAACCCCAAGCAACCCCCTGGATTATACTTCTGTACAGACACTGAAATTCACTCCCAAGCCCAATGCAGCAGAGCTTACGAGCAAACTCACGGAAAACAGCTTCAAACCTGTGCGAGCGATGCAAGGCCTCCGGCAAGAAGGCTGGAGAGTGTGCAGGATGATCTGAGAGGGGGAGGTCCTGACAAATTGATCTCATCACCCTCTGCTCTAGCTTGTGCGGAGCGGCGGTTCTGATGAAGAGCTACTCGTGTGCGTGGATATCTCTTTGAACAAGAGCCTGCTTAAGGGAGCTGCTTGCTCCCTCCCAGTCGTCCCTTACAGTCCTTACTACCCTCTGCCAATGCAAGAGTGCAGACCAAACTGAACACTCGAAACCGTGAGCAACGGCATTGTTACAGAGGTTCTTGTAAAATCCGTGAGAGAAGCGAAAGCTCTTCCTCCAAGGACCAGGATCTTGCACCATCCCCTGGTCGGATGCGCAGCTGCTGGATGCCAGTCAAAGAGTTCTTTGCCTGAGAGTACAACACTGTACGTGCAGAGTGAGCGCTTGCTGGAGACTGCAGTGTCGAAGTTCGGGTATAGGCGGATTTTTGCGCGGAGGCGTTGGCCGCG